AGCCTGATTGAGCTTTCAAAAAATGCTGAGAAATTTGTGGAAAAAGCAGTGTCAGCAATTTTAGATAGTAAAAAGCTGGTCGTAGTGTCGCTATATAAATTTTTAACTGTACAATCGAGTAAGTAATCTGTAATCGTTATTTACGACCGTTTGTAGCCTATCTTATGTGATTACATTTTCATCTTTCTTATAAAACGTTTCATATCAGAGACCTACAATTTCTGAAAATGTCGAACTAGATTTCAAGCGATTTTAAGAACAACTGATAACTAGAATGAGAGCCATGTCGATAGCCCTACCTATGCTTTAGAGTTTATAAAAAATGAGTAAAAACAGATCGAAATATTAGGCATTTAAAAAAAAAAAGAAAAAAGAAAACAAAGTGACAAGAAAAATCGACTATATTCATATAACTAAGTAATGAAGTGCGGAACTCTCACGAATTTGGGAAGACTTGAGGATAAGTGAAGCTAATTCATTTATAGTGCGACTGGATTTATGGACATACAGCTCTTAGAGTGAGTGATGGGAGTATGCGAAAGAGACAGAAAACAGGTAAAGATCTGAGTAATAGAATTGCTGGACAAAAGGATGGATCATCGAATAATCGAGGATTGACGTTCTTACATTTTCTTTTTTACTCGTTTCTCTTTTACCTTTACACTGCAGAATTTTGTTTCTTGTTTTTCCTTTATCAATTTCACTTTTCTCCACTAACATCGCAATTATCTGATCGAATACGCCTTACCATGTCAACAAATTTCATATTTAAAATAACTATATACGTACTGGAGTTGCGAATAAATGAAAATTAAATTTGTTCTTTCAAACAAATACTTTTGTATTCTTTTTCTGATTTTTCTATTTTATCAATAAATTGAAGTAATATGTTGAATTTTACGATTATAATAAATTAGAAGAATTTTTTTTATACATTATGCGTATTCCAAATTATATCTAAAATAAAATTTCTATTTCTACTGTTAATATCTAATAAACAGTTTAGTGAAAGATCGCAACATCAATCCTACAATTTACAATTTATAATTCATATGCAAAGATAATAAAATATCAATATCATTTTTTTCTAACATAGATTACCGAAGTCAACGATAGTTTTAATACAAAGAAAGCCACTCTCAAACCAAGTATAAACAGTAATAAAAAATTAATAAATGCAATAAATGATATTTATCTATTTGATATACGTGTATTTAGCATGCAGGCTTACAATAATTGATTGATCTCACTAACTTTTGTGAATACATATAAAAAAATTATAAATTATTATATATATATAAAATAATAAAAAAATTATTATAAAAAAATTAAAAATTTCTTCTGCAATTGATAAATAAAAGATTTTTAACGTTTCAAAGCGTTCAAATGATTATTGTCGAATGAACAAATTGTCAGGTTTTATCGTTATATTCCCTAATTTATTGTTCTTAAAGAATTTCTGTCCCTAAATGTTTATTCTATCGGAGAGTATTTCTTGATTAAAAAGCGGTAAGTTTTATAAAAATAAACATTGATATGTTGCTAGATGTTAAAGCATTTGAACTGTTTAACTATAAAAAAGAAAAAAAAAGAAAAAATAAATTTGGAAAAACAAATTTTCCGTGCGAATAATAACTTTAAAGATACTATTTATCATATTTGACATAATTTGTCACGATTATCATTGTACACGCAGAGCTAACATTTTTCTGTTATGCCGTGTAACTTAGATAAAAAATATTATTTCTTCTAACATATTTCGTTACATACACAAAAGTGTAAAAAATATTTTTATTAGTCTTTCTATTGTTATTTTTCATTAAAATATAAATATTTTATTAATACGTTTTAACATATATGATAAATATATTTTTACATTACATTTATTTTGCATAGCGTAATTTTATATCTTATTAAAATTAATATTCTTCAACTATTAAATAATATTTATATCTCCTGGTAAAACAAATTTCAAATTGAAATGTACTTTAACTTTTAATTACAACGAAAGATTCATTTATTCTACATATATATTAATAAGTATTATAAATTATAATTATGTTTTACAATTATAATTATAATTGATTCCTATATATAAAAATATTTAATAGAATTTTTTAATAATTATTCTATACTAGTTTAATATCAATGATGCATGCACTATTTAAGCAAAGTATATGATTTAATGATCATTATTTTCTTGTAAAATATTTTTATAATTACAAGATATTCTTTTAATTATAAAAGCTGTTTTTAAATAGTAAATATTTGCAAGGTAAGTTTCAATTTTGTAAAGGTAAAATTTTGTACTTAAACAACGCCTGATGTTACAAAATATCTTAGTATGTAGCTTTGATTGTAAAATCCTTGAACTAAAACGTATAGAGAAGCAATATTATACAGCTTATGTGTCAAAGGATTTTAAACGACAACAATAATTTAGCGGCAATAATTGTCATAGGTCTTTTTTTTATTAAAAATACGTTTTCTAATAGTAAATGTAAGTTTTATGCTATAGGTAATATTTTAAATTTCAATAGCCGGTTAAATTACAATATAAAATAATATTTATGAAACTAAGCCTTATTCTGATATGCATTTTATGTATCAATAATTTTATTCGTTGTCAATTATTGCTAAATTTGAATGAACTATAAAAAAATTAATTGATTCTAGAAAGAGATATTTTCATAATAATAAGAATTTATATTTACATAATGAGACTGAAATGACCAAATGTTTATTCGTGTTACGAATAAATATTTCGTATAATTATTTTTATATTTGTGCTTTACACATTGCCCAGTAATTTTGTTTATTATTATAATAACGGCGAACATTTTCTTATATTCGTCAAAGTCATAATCACTTTATAAGTTACGATGCAAACATGCTTTATACGATAAGATTTCATACTTGAACAATAATGAATTATTTATTTTTAACATAACACCATAAAATCAAACCAATACCATTGTAAAAATTAATCAATCTTAAAAATATAATAGTCAATTGTAAAATATAATTAATAAAGTTAGGTTGTTTATCAAAAAATTTGCCTTTCTAATTAAATACTTTTGTCGTAAAATTTTGGATGAACTTTTAGATAAAAGTTAATATTATAAAATTCGAATAATGCGTGATAAAAGATCGCTGACTTTCAATTTTCAGTAAGCGGAAGTGTTTTTTTTTTTTATTAAATCAGTCATAGATAGAATCGTAGACGATAGTTCAATGAAATTCAATACGCAAATTAAACGGCATGAATAGATGTAAATTTGATTGATCCGTGATCAAGTATTTAGTATAATAATAGTTGTTATTTTCATGTAGTTTATGTTACAAAGATTTGCTTATAAAATTATGATTAAGTGCTGCAAGGGGAGGTATTCTTGTATAGAAAAGAGGTTGGATTGTAAATGTATTACTCGTGTGAGATGAAGAAGTGGAACAACAATGTAAAAGAAAGAATCACGAGTGCACTAAAGCTAAGTGAGATCACAGAGAGAGAGAAAGAGAGAGAGAGAGAGAGAGAGAGAGAGAGAGAGAGAAGCTAAGTCATTGCACCCATGCATACATAAATCCGAGGACTTATCGAGCGGATGATTCAGTCGATCTGCAGAACAAAATCATTGAATCTGAAACTGTAGCTAAAATGTTTTTGAACGCCCATTCGGCAGCTCAATAAATAGGCCCCGATAATTTGTTATCTATTTGCTGGCTAATACACGAGACTGAGTCCACGTTTCAAACTTCGCCTCCATGCCTTCGTTTAACCTTCCAGTAAACAATATTGGAGCTCTGACTATGACTTTGCCTCTTTCTCTTGTTTTCTCATCTCTACTTTGAACTTTTTCGTCACTTACAAGGTCGTTGATCATCAGACTTTATGTTCTATTATGCATTCTTCGCAAGTACTTTAACATACATTGGGAGGTGACGAATAATAATATTATTATTATTTCATTCATTTAAGATCAAACACTCTTAAATTTATGTAACTTAAATCGACCTCTTAGAACAAGAACAATAATAATAAGGATAATAACACTAACGATGTCAAAAACGATAATAATAATAATACAATGACAACAATAAGAATAATAAGTCATGTCAATAAAGGATGTTTTTCAATTACTATAAAGTCATAATTGAAATTTTTAAGAATTTTTTTTATGTTTAATAGCAAAAAATGTAGATAAAAGTCAAAAACAAAAATTAGATGAAAATCACATCTGTTTTTTTAGTTTTAATTTTATTACAATTAATAAACTTTTTTTTTTGATACAATGGATTATCTACTTGTAAAAATATTATATGTCAGTTTTAATAAATCCAAACTAGTTTTACATATAATTGTAACTCAATCAAAACTTATTTTGTGTTATTAGATTGTTTTAAATTATTTTAAAATATCTGCTTGTGAATATATTATATAATCTGTCAGATATTTGTAAATAATTACTTTTAAAATTATTATATAAACTCCACGCTAGCATTTTAAATATTTGATAAAATTCCATTATTCCATGTTCAGTGTACAATTAATAAATTGTGAACGAAGCTCAATATTTATGTCAAATTAAGTTCAGATTTAAAATTCATTCATATTGCTGTTGAACTTAATTTTTAATTCATAGTAAATTTATAGAATACCAATAAGTATGCAAAATTTCAAAACTTTTTAAAACATTTTAAACTAAAAATATAATTATTGATATTAGATCATTTTAATTTTTTCAAAATTATTATTATTAATATTAAATATTCAATAAAGTATATTTTTATTACTGATAATTTTTTTTAAAAGCCATGGTAATTAAAAATATTTATATAATATATAGAATAATAAAGAATATTTCATTTAAATTTAAACCATTTATATAGCTATTTTAATAATAAATATCATAAAAAATAAAATATCAATGTTTTTATACAAGCTTTACACCTGGAAACTTTTTTTTGTAAACTTTCTTATTTTATTTTTGTATATATACAGCATTATATAAAAATAAACTATTTAAAAGAATTTTTCACTACAGAGATAGTAAGTCTTGAGTTAAGAAAAGAATGTGACCGCAATATTTTATTTTTACGTTACGTAAAACTTTCGATATAATTAGTCTTACAGGCCGATGTTACTTCCTCATATGGTATAGTTACTACAAAGTGTCCATTCAACTGGTAAGATTTTTAAATTACTGTACTACGTTATTGTAAGTGCGATATAATACCCATAATGCCAGGGAATTACTTCCACTTGCCAGTTTTCGGATATATAGTTTATGATATTAATTGTATTTAATTCTTCTAAATACGTTTACTGTATATAAATAAAACATTTAATATACAATACATAATGACTATATAATGTAAGCAAATTAAGAACGTTTCTTTGTCTTATATTGTGATTTAAAATCATCAATAGTCATTGAAGAGCCCTGCAGTGTACAACTTGCTGAATCTTTGCCTAGATTGATAACACTTAAAAGTGAGATTGCCTCCTCGTATGCTGGATTTATAGGGCTTTGCGTTGGCTTACAATATTCGAATTTTTGGCCTTCAAACTAAAATAAATTATTAACCATTAACAAAGAATTTTACTGTAAGTAATTTAATAACAATTCATAAAATATTTTTGCTTGAAATAACAATCATACATCTAATGGATAGCTGGTGTCAGAATCAGGTTGAGAAAGATCTCCACAAATTACAAATGGAGCAATGTATCCATTAACGCCTTTTAATTTACTAAATTCAGATATTGAAGTATCCAATGAATCTGGATTAAAATCCTCTGGTAGATTAAAATCTCTACAAACTACAAATGCTTCAAAACTTGAATTTCTTGAACTGAGTGGTTTAGCACATATCACAGATGTGAAAAATATTTTTAATTGAGAATACAATAGTGTAACATCTTTAGCTCTAAAGATCTTTGCTACAAAAGTGCCTTTTGGTTTTAATATACGCAATGTAATTCTCAGTGCTGATAATAGTAATTGAGATTGAATGTAAATATCCATGTCATGAAGACCAGTAACTGTTAAAGTACAATTTTTATAAATTTTCAAATGTTTTTCTTACACAATATCAAAGTATCACATTTCAACTATTACAGTATCAAATTTACCATCAGGTGCTCCATCACATACAACAAGGTCTGCCTGTTCATTATCAAAGTAAGCAATTATTTGCTCTGCAGTATTAATATTTGTAATATCCCCCTGAATTTGTATTACTCCTTCAATTGGTGCCATAGCTTGAAGATCTACGGCAATAATTTTTGGGGCAATTAAAGTACAATCTGACTTAGCTTCTTTTAATTTCTCATAGTTTTCACTGAAATCAATTTAATTTAAAAGCTTCTAAAATCATGTATTGAAAATAAAATAAAAAATATGAATATATATATTTACTTTAATCTACGTGTTAATACTTGACTCCAACTTCCTGGGGCAGCACATAAATCAACTGCTTTTGTAACTCCTGTGCATTAATATATAACGTAATTGAAAATTAAATTTATAAGTTTTCTTGTAAAGTATATTTTTACGAAGAGACAAGTATAAAATGGAAATAAATAAAAAAATAAATAAAATAAATAAAATAAATAAAATAAATAAATAAAAACTATATATATAGATATATATAAATATGTTTACACATATGCATTTAACAAGTCGCTAAGGTAATGTACTTACCATGTAAAATATTGAATTTGTCATCTATCTGAAGTAATTTAAATGCACTTCTTGCTCTCCAACCTTCTTCCTTGGCCTTTCGATAGTAAATATCACGTTTATCTTTTGATGTTTTTCCCATTTTATAATTTTAATATAACGAAAGGTTATAATATAAAATCTTAATAACTAATCATTCGCAAGTAAACGCACTACTTTACTTTTCATAAAATACGCATGCGCTACATAAATTCAAATACACTTCTGAAAAAATATGTATTAAAATATAGGAATTTAAAAAAAAAAAATAATTTCAATAAAACGGATAAATATATATATATATTTGTGTGTGTGTACATATATGCATGGATATACATATGCATGTACGTATTTATGTGCATATGTGTATATACATGCGCGCGTGCGTGTGTGTATGTATAGACGAGTGTGCGTGTATATATATATATATATATAATTTGTAAAAAATTATCATGCAGCTATTGCATATATACACAGATGCATCTATATAAATATATGTATAGAAATATATATTATAAAGATATTTTTACCTAATCAAATATAATTTATAGTTATACAGACTTATAGTTCAATAACAATTTGGTTTATAAATTTTTGTTGTAATTTCCATTTTATGCCTTTATTTTTGCTTTTCCTCGCGTAAGGAATTTTATGAGAATATTTTCGCTCATGTGCAGTTGAGATTCTTAAGCTCATTTTTCCTTATAATTGACTGGCATGATATTATATTTTCTCCCTTGTATGGATACAAAATTCAATGAGGTTTGACCTCAACTTAGCCTGGCGCTGTTTTGGCAGATGACCGAATATTGATATGCCGTCAAATTAAAATAGAGTCGAAAATTTATATATTTATGAATGCACAAAAATTATAAGTTGTGTAGCTTTTAAAAAACCAAATGCATTTTTGTTTAGGTAATAAATGTAAGATATAAAGAGTCGTTTTTACGTTTAGTTTGGGTAATTTTTATCGTACCTAAATGGCTTGTACGACGGAATTCGGCCCTGACTCTGGTGGAAGAGTAAAGGTTAGATCGAATTATTTAATCTTTAAATTTTATTACATTATCTAAACAAAGTAGTTAAATATATATAATTTAAACATATTAAAAATTTATAATAATTACAATAAATATTTAGGGCATAACTATCATAAAACCTATAGTCTACGGAAATGTAGCCCGTTATTTTGGTAAAAAAAGAGAAGAAGATGGACACACTCATCAGTGGACAGTGTATGTCAAACCCTATCATAACGAAGATATGTCAGCTTATTTAAAGAAAGTACATTTTAAATTACATGAAAGTTATAATAATCCAAACAGAATAATTACTAAACCACCCTACGAATTAACTGAAACTGGATGGGGTGAATTTGAAATTGTTATTAAAATTTATTTTCATGATCCAAATGAACGACCTGTGAGTCAGTGAAAAAATATAATCAGCTTATAAATTTTGAATTTCAAATTAATAAGACCAATTGATTTTTAGGTAACTATATATCATATTTTAAAATTATTTCAAACCTCGCCCGAACTTCAAGTTGGAAAAAAGAGCTTAGTTTCAGAATTTTACGATGAAATTATATTTCAAGATCCTACAGCATTAATGCAACATTTATTAAATTCAGCAAAACCATTGACAGCAGGTATCTGGCGTCATGACACAGACTGTAAGTATAATTATATATGAAAGTATTAATATTGCCTCCATCGTAATAAACGATAATTATTTATTTAAAATGAATATTTAGTTGAAGTTAAAAAGGAGCAAACACTGAAAGCTATAAAGGATGCTAGGACTAAAATTAGAAACGAGGTAGCAGAATACAAGGAAAAACTTACATTAGCAAAAGAAACAATCAACAAATTTAAGGATGAAATATCAAAAATTTCTAAAAGTGGAGGCTCGTTATCTGTAACTTGATATAAAAAGGAATTATAGCAATAACTAATTAATTATATTTTTTTACTTTTGTAAATAGTTAAATATGTATAATGTAATAAATTTTTCTATATAAAAGTAAGCAATAGGCTAACAGTCTTTATTAGATTCCATATTTTCGATCTGTTCTTCACACCGATATACATATTTTTTTTATATAAATAAAAATAACAATTTAATATTTAATCACAATATGTTATAATACAATTTATCGAATATGTCAAAGTGTAACAATAGGTAAATATAGTGCATGTATGATTCAATCAGGAAATTTGTACAACTGGGCGTCATACCGACGTTTTACATGAAAAAAGTTACAACAGTCAAGGATAGAATATGTCTTTCCGTGTGTCTGCTTATGTACAAAAACGACAATTTAGCCGTTAAATGTGTATAACTGGTGCATTAATTGTAAATGTCAATCATATTTGACAAAACAGTAAATTGTACGTACAACTTTTATAATATCATAAAAACCGGAAAATAATTTCAAAACACGAAATTAAAAATATAACGTACATATAAAATAATTAGCTTATTGTAACATGTAGGCAATCTTCTAATACAATATTGTGCTTCATTGTTGCACGGAAGGATTAGTAAGTGTCAACAGTAACCTTTAGAATACAATTGGCTTATCTTTGCATTGATCAATACAAAAATTAGTAAAGCGCTTAAGAAATTTCGGATATTCTCTCTTATAGACAGCACGAAGAACTGATGCAGGAGCCCATCCACCGGGATTAACTATAAAATTTATAAAATAATACAATGAACTTTATAATATATAATAGTTAAATAAATTATTAATACTGACCAACTGAACAATAAGTTATTTTGCAAGTAATATCCTCTCTTTTAATTAATTCGTTTTGTTTTGGTGGGTCAATAAGTGTTTGGCAAACGAGGCAAACTGTTAAATATACCCTAACACATTTTCCAGCATTTGGCTGAAATAAATATTTATTATATTGTTAATTTTTAATTTGTAACAAATTCTTCAAATCGACACAGATTAAAAATATAATAAATGCTTCACAATCTTACTGGATAATCTGCATGTTCTGTGCTGTGATTACAAGCAATCCATAAGTCTTGTGCATCCGGTACTTTACGCATATGCGACCAAAATAAAGCATCTCTTTGACTTGCAGGCCAAATTCGCTTATGAGTTTGTAAAAAAACTAAAGTATCCTTAGATATATTTTCTATCACTGTCATGTCTTCTAAAGTGGCTTCCCAACCACTTCGATATTCAGGACTAAAAAATATTTTACAAACTTCGTGACCAGTAACACCTTTTACAACATGACATGCTTTCAAAGGATCGACTACCAAGCCATTGGCCTCTTCTTCCCGCCTATACATTCTCATGTCTCCATCTTCAGCAAACAACTGCCAGCTACCAGCACCTACTCCTAATCGAGCATAATGCAATTGCTCTAATGTTATCCTATTTATCTATAATTTAATATTATTTATACATTAATTAATGACCAATTTAAAATTATAATTTATTAAGTACACAAAAGATCCAAAAACATTTAATTTCTCATACCTCAGGCCAGAGTCTATGCTTAATAGCTGGTGTTGTAGGAGTTGTTGGGATCACAACTGATTTTTGTTTCAATCGATCTTTTATTTCATTTTCTTCATCAATTTTGTCAAGACCTGTTTCCATTGCATCATAAAACTCTTCATCGCATAATGCACTGTGTGGTCCTTCCTTGAAAGAATAAAAGTAATTATATTTTTTTAGAATCAAGCACATTGTTTATAACACAATTTTTAATTTTATATGTAAAGCTTAGAACTTATTTGTGAAAATAGTTTTTATAGACTGGCGATAAAATGTTACATACATTTTTGTAGCCCAGATATTACATTAGGTCAGGCAATTAACATTCAAGACACATTGTTTTAGAAGACAAAAACTGCATACATAAAAGTTATGAAATAGCATCAGAATTATATGCTTGATTCACTTATTTATTCAACTGACTCGTCACAAAATACGTGCATGAATATTATGTGCACGGTATGATAAATAACTTACTTCATAATCAGGTCCACCATGAATAACTACTCGTGGTCTTCCAGAAATACCGCCATTTAATGTGACTTGTTCTTTTAGTGACCTACAAAATTCTTGCAATTTTCGTCTTTTTTCCATTTCTTTCTCCCAACGTTTACGCCAAGCATCCTCACGTTGCACCATCAAGTCAACACAATGCTGCAATGTTGCTATTACACCTTCACTTGTGGCCTTGAAAGTAATAGCTTCACCTTTGAAGTCAATCGCCTGTTCAGCTGGGTCAAAAGTAATGTCATCAACTTTATCATTGGATATTCGACCTTTATTTTGTAAGTTTTTGACATTATCTGCACAATCATCAAAATATTTTTGGAGTGTATCCACTTGCTGTAACAATATATCTTTAAATGTTTCTATTTCCGCCAACTTCTCTTTTAATCCCCTGACTCCTCGTTTGCTGAAACTACCAGCACTCGCTGTAGATTGTGTATTTGATATCAAAGATATAGCACTGCCGTGACGTTTTAAGCTATTTTCACTACCATATCCAGATTCAGCCTGCATGTAATAATTTTTTAATTATTTAATTTAAATCATAAAAATAGAGTATTATTTTATAGAAAATAAAGTATACTTTATATGATTTTAAAACATCTACCCAACGCTGCTTTTCTTCCGGATGATTCGCTCTTAAATACCAAACCAAGCAATCATTTACCGATACATCAAATCTACATTCATCAAATTCATGAGCCTAAATATAAATTAAAATATATATTAAATAAATATTATTATTAATATTGTATTCTTACAATAGATACAATGATTTTTTTAGCAATAAATAAACTGATAGTTTAAATTCAAATTATTACCAATAATTGAAATATAATTTATTACATTTTTAAAATAATAATCAAGATATAACAAAGTCGTAAACTTAAATATTATAAAATAAATTGAATGATATTTAGATACTAACCTTTATATCTGCTTTATAAAGACTAATAGATCCTCGACATCCAAATCCACTATCTTGTTCAGATTTGTAATAAGATAGTGTGCCATCTTTCAAAACAATAAATCGAGTTTGCCATCCATGTATGTAGTTGGTCCACTTTGATAAATTTCCTTGGAGTTCAGGCACAATTACACCATCCGAGCCTTCATCATCGTCTACACCTATGTCACCATAATCTACAACTTCATTATTTTGTTGAGAACTTTCTAATTCGTCCGTCATTTTAATGCGTACGCTTTTGAAACTTGATGCCAATCTATGAATAAGAATTTTGTATTTAAAAATGATAATAAAATTAATTTAAATGTACAATAATTTTCAAGTACATCCAAATAATGTTTAAATAACTGTAGTAAAAACTAACATTTTTATTCTAATATACAAATGTATACATATGAAAAATTAGAAAAACGCATAAGCGAATATCAATATTTACATTTAGGATACCGTACTTCGATACAAAACATTTTGTTACGATATTAGAAGAGCAAACTAACCTCAAAAAGTGACGTTGCGATAATTGAATTCCAGTTATCAAAGTGATTTCCCATACGAGCCATTTACGATATCGCACATTGTAAAATCATAGGCAATAATTATTATAGTAGCTTTTCAAATGAAATAAACATGCAGGAATTGTAATGAACTTCTATTAGTCCAATATTTAACTTGTATCATTAAAGCTCCACCCATTTGCCACTTGTTACAGGCTTCTCCAACTCCTCTTATCATCCCTCGTATACTTACACATTACACTTTTACTACATAAACATAAATATAAATATGTGCAATTTTTCTAAATGATTAATTTGAATATACTCTGTCAAAATTTTATAATAGTATATGCATACGCATATGTATGTCAGGCGTGTGTGTAGGCTACACACACTCCGGCGCATAAACTCACACAGGTCCTCGTAGCATATATATAATTTACCGTTCGCAATTTCATGTGTAATTTAGGTGTAAGTTGCACGAATATTCTATGCGAAAGTATTTGTTCGTATTTGCGTGCTTGTATGCGTATATACGTACGCATTCATTATCGGATAAAATTGACATGACTGGCCTTATTTTAATATGGACATTATGGTAAATTAATACTTGACCAGTAAGCAAAGTACATTTTGTTTTATTATATAATTCTCAACATATATATGTAAAAATTAATCATAATAATTGAATATTATTTTAATCTTCATTTATTTCATTTTGTGCATTACGATGTTTTATTTTTATAAATTAAGAAACTGTTAAATTTATATCTTATGCTTAAAATTTAATCTACGAAAAAATAATATCTTTATCAATTGATGTTGAAAAATTTTTTTTTTATAAAGTATTCCAAAATAATAATTTATGATTTTTGTAATAGATATAAATTTTTAAATTTTTAACACAATTGTATGAATCGCATTATGTTTAATAAGAATTTGTATATATGTGCTATTGGTATTCTAGTTATGTAATATCTTGTTATTTCACAATTATTTTTATTTTAATTTCCAACTAAAATATGTTTCATAATTCACTATTCAATTTTTAATTTGAGCGAAAAATTAAATTTCTATATAAATACAAAATGTCCCTAGGCTTACTACATAACTGCTTCTAGGCTATTTAATCAAAGATTGTATCACCAAATAATGTAGAGTTGTAAACGTTCTAAAAACGTGAACAGCTGTTTTTTCTTTTGTTCTGTAAACAAAAACTACACAAAGTCCTGGAGATTACCATATTTAATCACATATTATATTATGTGTCTTATAAATAAAAATGTACAAAACTTGACAAAAACTAAAATCCTAAAATGAGTAGGATAAAGATGTTGAAAAAAGGGTAAACTTATTATGCCTCGAAAAGAGAACACGTAAGTATTTTTTTATAAAAAGAACATATTTTGAAAAGAATATTTAGTTGTAGATAGTACTTGATTAATTAAAATTAAACTTTAGTAAAGCCAAAACATGGGAAAGAGACAGAAGAAAGCGTATGAATGGGTACTTCAAAAATTTATCAGATCTTCTGCCACCACAATTGGAAGGACGTAAGCGGAATAAAATTGATATTCTTATTCATGCATCCAAATATATTAAGGATCTACATAATCGTACCGATGAATTATTTCATGCTCGAGCATCAGATGTTCATAGTATGTATATATAAATAGTAACTGTAAAGCCAGAGTTTTATAAAATTTTTATTTCCTTTTAACTATAGAAGAAGAACTGGCTCGTTTAAAAAGGCTTGTAATGCAATTAATATCTAGAATTCAATTACTTTCCGATCTTTTAAAAGATGCAGGAATTACTGTACCAGCTGAACCTGCATTGGAAAAAATTTCACCACTTAAATGGTCTAATAAAATTAATGTTGTTTCTGGATCTAAGATTAACGAAACGGAAATAAGTACAGATGAATCAATTATATAAATTTAATCGTTATTTAATTAATCTATTTAATTAATGTCTGTTTAATATTTTATTTATACTCCTAGCTAAAAGAGGGGAGAAGAAAAAAGAAAAGAACTCCACTAGTCTTAAAGCTAATTTAAAGAAAAAGTCAGTATCAGGTAAAAGAACTGAAAAGCAACCCGTCCATAATAAGTGCTTCCCTGATAAATCTAAATGTATCATTGAAGATCAAGAAAATCATGATAGTACTAGCTCTGGTGAAAAGAGAGAGAAAGAAGATAAATCATCTTCTTTTAATGAGGAGTCGATATCCAGTAAAATATCAGTACCAATTTCTCCTTCTAAAGTAAATATAAGTAAGTAATAATATTTTTATTTATTACATGCAGATTATTTTATTAAACAATTATAATTAAGATGATAAAATGCTTACATTTTTAGAAAATCATAAAAAAGTTAAGCGAAAAAAGAAAAATGACCCAGTAAATCAGGCAAATACAACAAATTTAAATAGCCTTCCAACAGGTACTTTAGTATTCTCAGGTGGCAAAATAATGCCTATGGTAACACCAATGCCAAACTTAACATCAAATATTATTGTGAATACTCAATCTCGTCCTTCAAATTCTATAATTCTGAATAATGCACAGCAGGGTCAAATGATTGTAGTACAACCCTTGCAAACGAATCATTTTCAAACAGTCAGTACAGTACAAACAATGACTTTAAATACTATGCCTAATATACAAGCCAATATGTTAATAAATTCCCGAAATTGGGCAAAAAATGTTAAAACAATTATCAATTCAAGTAAAATAGGAGGCATGAAAGGAATTTTACCAAAGATTCGTGAAGTTACTAAGACTACAATGACATATAAAGTCCCTATTCCTGCAATTCATAAGGATAAGATTGATAATAAAATTGAAATTAAAGGAATATCTTCAACTGAAAAACCACAAAATCATACGAATATTTTAAAATCCGGCAAGAATAGACGATTACCTAATGTAGAAAGTCAGAATGATTCACAAATTCCAAGAGAAGAAATAAAAAAACAAGGATCACAAGAAAAATCGATTGTAAATAAACATACATTAAAACGTAATTCAAATTCAAATTCAAATGAATCGTGTGAAGTAAAAAAGAAAAAGAGTAAAGTAAATGAAGTTGATCATGAAGTAAAAAGTGTACAGATAAAGGCAAATATTATTTTAGATAACAATGTCACATGTAAATCTATCGAAAATTTAAAACAAGTTATTGAAAATATTGGTGATGATATATCATATCCAAAATTATTATTGAATAATTCAGAAGAAAATAATTCAAATTCTACTAATGAGCAACAAAAATGTAGTAATACTTTGCATGAATTAAATTGTGATTTAGAAACAATTGACAAATGCCAAATACAAAAGATAAATTCATCGAGCGAATATTTGGTGGATGATAAATTATCAAATATAAATATTTCTACAGCTTTGAAAGAATTGCCAGATAAAGAAGTGTCTATTATATCTGATATCGTAGAACGATCAGAAGATAATTTTGATGATAAAATTTCAAATGAAATTACTGAAATTAACAATAAAAATAATTCCTCTGTATCAACAGAAGTTATCACTGAATTGCAAATCAGTAAAACAAATCCGATAATAAAAAATACTGATATACAAATGACTTCTATAGAAAATAATATTGATGAAAATATTCTTTCAAATAAAATAAGTCAAAGCTGTAACGTTGAAAGAAAAATTGACAATATGCTACAATCAAAAACTCAAGATGAAATTATTGATGAACAAGTGCCACCAGAAAATAATAAGATATTTTTAAATCTCGATACTAACACTACGACTACAATGAAATTAGAAGGTTCTGAAACTAAAATAAATTCTGTATCAACAGTATCGACATCTTCATCTATTAAAGTTTTAACGGAAGAAGAATCTGTAAAATTAAAACACAATGCTAAAGATGATCAAAATATTATAAAAACAGTATTCTATAGTTCAAGCAATAGTTTTGTGCCAATCAATCATAAAACAGACTCTTTACATTCAGATTTATCAAATGATATATTCGCTTCGCTTCAAGTACCTTCAAGCTCAAATAATTCAGAATCAATATCTCCTACAGCTGCCTTTTTGATGGCTTTCCCAATTGTATCATCTTTAAGTGGTAAGACCGAAGTTCTTGACGATGAAATAAAAGATGATTTTAAATATAGTAGTCAAACACCTCCAATGCTGCTACAAATTGGAACAATAGAACCTAATAATTTTAAAATTAATTCAAGAGCCACAGTAAATGATAGCGTAGAGTCAGCAGAACCATTGACAGTAAAATATCAGTCTCTTAAATCTTCGACTGACTCAATCACATCTGTAATCAATTCAACAACTGCAACAACTCCGATTAAAATTCTTCCAAGAGTTATTAGTAGTCAAACCCTTACAGAATCATTTAAAATAATTCCAGTTTCTTCAGAACAAATAAATAGACAAGGTAGCATTGAATCGAGTAATTCTATGCAAACTCAACAAACCGCAACTCATGAAAGTGAAAACTCTGATGTTAACACTATAAATAAAGATCAATCATCTGATATAACAGATAATATTGATAGGTCAATAAATAATGATGTTCAAAATTATACATTAGAAAACAAGTCGCAGCCTAATTTTAATTATACAAAAGATATGTCTTTGACTTCAATATCAAATTCAATTGCTAACGACATTTTAAACAAATATATTTCAACAACTCCATTATCCACAAGTACATTGGCTACAGAAGCTTCAAGCAAGTATAATTCTCATTCAAATTATGTAACATCGGATTGTGAATCTTCCGTAATAAACTGTGTAAAAGAAAATATTGATCGAAATAATAGTCAATACAATTTCGCGTGTCAATCTGCAAGTGACATTCCAACTGATAGAGATCTGTGTAAGCTTCAAATTTGTCCGATGGAAGCTTTTACAGAACGCAGTAATGAGTATTCTGCTCATAATAAAGAAACTTCGTTTTCAAATGTACCTTTACCAGCAGCAAATACTGAAACTTCAAATAAAAGCATTCAAATTTCAATAAATCAAGAAAAGAATTCCAAAAATGTAATTTCAAATGACCAAAATATAGCTACCAATAATAATTTTCATTCTATAAAAAAACTTGAAAATAAAGGACCGTCTTCAAATAATTCTGGAACAAATGTTCTGTATCAAAAAAAAAGCAATGAAATTCCAAATTCAAGCTCATACATTGGCTCTTGTGATAATAAAGTTAATAAAAAAATAATGGCTGTTTCTTCGCAATCTAGTAATTCCGCACAAAAAGTTGCCTCTACAAGATCTAGTACTTTTTCACAACAATCGGAAGTGTATATTGCGACAACAAATTACGAC